GGGTTATCCTAGGTGATTTACACTATGTATGATAATTGTACTTTAGGTACTTTTACCTAAATAAACATACTTAAACTGTTAGTGGTCCCATCCTTAAAAGGTTCACTTAAAGATATAACCAGTAAAATGTTACTCTGACTTTCTGGGATTATTTTGGGTTAACACACTGGGGGTTATAAGACAAAGAAAATCTTTGTGGTCGTCTAATCTTGGTAAATACGATAAATATATTCTGTGACCTGTGGCCTGATGGCAAAGTTCTCGCTTCAAACGCTGAGTGTCCTGGTTAGATTCCCGGAAAGGGTAGAAACATTGGGCGTGTTTCCTTACACTGGTTGTCCATGTTCACCCATCAGTAAAATGGGTACCTGGGTGTTAGTCAACTGGTGTGGGTCGCATCCTGGGACAAAATTGACCTAATTTGCCCGAAATGCTCTGCATAAAAAGCTGCTTTCTATATAGTATGTCACTGATGTCAGCTAGGACTGTATATCATGTATATGTACTTGTAGAAATAAAGGCATTATTATTATTATGGTTCATAGTTACCCATAAACTTGAGAGTATTTCTACATTTTCTATTATGATTTAATAAAGAAAACTATATTGATTTTTTGAATATATGGGAAAATTAAGCAATTAGATGACAGATGCCTATGCACCTCTGTGTAAATGATTTTATTAGGATTGTCAACACGGATAGTTGGTAACCCAGGATAACCCAACGAAGCCAAGGTCATCAGACTGCACAGAATGTTGGGTAGCTTTAAATATAGGTTGAAGTTGGTGCGAGTTACAGCTGCCTAGCATGGGCCAGAAGGCCTACTGCAATGTTCCTTAATTTCTGTTATTTTCATTGGGGTCTTTTAATCTTCTCTCCCAGGATGCGACCCTCAACAGTCTACTAACACCCAAGTACCTACTTACTGCTAGGTGAACAGGGACAACTCGTCCAGATACCTAAACTCCGGTCCCTCAACTGAGAGCCGTAGCCTGTACCAGTTGAGCCCGAAGTGGCTTTATTGACTCGCCTGTCGTCATTATACGAATTTTATCCCTAGAATTAGCCTTGTGATGTCGTTCAGCGAACCTAGTGAGGATAAATCCCTCATCTATGTGGAAATTTTTTAATTTTCCTAAAATCAGCATGTGTAAATTTGAATAATTTAATAATTGTGTATTAAAATGTAATGCTAATTTGACCCTTCGAGAAATTTCGAGGGGGGGGGGGATGTGGAAGAGCCGCGAGGCTGTTCTCAAAACTGTGAGAACAGCGAGAACACAAGAACAGCAGACTCTGGGAGCGCACCTCTCGTTCAAATAAAATTAAGCTCTTCAAAAATACAAGGAAGGTGGAAGATGCAGGAACATTGAGAAATAAAACATCTCTCTGATTAGCGGAGGGACATTAACAAATTTATGTACAATTCTCCCATACTAACAGATATTGCTTCCTGGGACTCTGTCAGGCAGGGAAAGAGGTCAGTTCCCATCGGGGAACTAGTCAGTGGCTGTCAGGGATGTAATTAATGTAAACTAGATATGGAGGAAAGGCCCACAAGAACATCAGCCACCCTCTCAAAGGAGTCATCCATCCTTCGTTCATGGAGGAGACAAAACAGTGAACTTGGGGAGAAGTTACCTAAAAGTTTATTATTTTTCACTATATATATCCTGGGAATAATAGTGGAATTAGCCCCTCATCCCAGGACGAACAACGAACCTTCTTAAATCATGTCTTCTTGATGACCGACACCAGTTATTTAATCAAGTGGCCCTAGGAAAAATACTTTTTTCTACGGCTTATACATATAGTCCTCAGACTGATTTCTCCCACTATTTTAAATAAATAATGCCCATTAGAAATAACATTTTCCGTATCTCTTTGATATTGCCATGAAACACTTCCAATGCAAAAATACTATTGCCTAATCGCTATCTTAAACACAACTCTCAGTGTTCGAGAGCACAAACTATTTTCAGACTGGAAAGAACACGACAGACTATGTAGTATAATAATGGCGCTCTTAACTAACAAAAGACATTTATATCCTGCTACAGTATCCATACTTCGCTCTGATTAGAAGAATTAGACAGCATAATATAATGTATAAAACCAACCAATAACCTCGTTATTATTAAATATCTGAACTCTTGAGTGATTTTATATATATATATATATATATATATATATATATATATATATATTTTATATATATATATATATATATATATGTCGTGCCGAATAGGCAGAACTTGCGATCTTGGCTTAAATAGCAACGCTCATCTTGCCATAAAGGACAAGTGAAAATTTGTGTATGCAATAATTTCGCCAAAATCATTCTGAACCTAACGAAAAAAATATATTTCACTGTGTTTGTTTAATATTAAATTATTGTAAACAAATCTAAAATATATTTAGTTAGGTTAGGCTAAAATAAATTGTTCTTGTCATAATAAGGTTAGGTAAGTTTTCTAAGATTCTTTTGGTGCAAAATTAAAAATTTTTACATTATCATTAATGAAAAAAATATATCTTTAAACGTATAAGAGAAAATTTTAGAAAGGACCTAATTTTAAATGAGTTCTTGCTAATTGACCAGTTTTACATATTCGGCACGACATTATATATATATATATATATATATATATATATATATATATATATTATATTATATATATATATAGGGGTCCACCTCAGGTGTAAATTGTGGGACCCATAGCCTCGGAGAAGTGGATAAAAAGGCTTCAAGGAAGAATATTTGGATTTCTTCCTGAAGCCGTTTGAATATTCCACTTCCCCTACCACCCCATCTTTTAATAAATATTTTTTTTACCAATAGGAGTATTTTATTACATAATATGGTACAGAAGATTACATTATATATATATATATATATATATATATATATATATATATATATATATATATATATATAAATGCATCAGTGTCAAGAACATGTATTTTTTTTAAATATGTATTTACTCAATGGCGTCTTACGACGCAAGAACTACTGTGATCCTGAGTTTTTGTCGTTACTGTCGCTGCCGCCGCTGACAGGATGCTCAGCAGGTACACTACACTAACTGCTCAGGTTAACATTTAAGTAACCTAATATGGCTTAATAGAAAGGTATCTCTGTCATGATTTTCGTGGAGTAATATAACACACACACACACACACACACACACACACACAAAAAAAAAAAAAAAAAAAAAAAAAACTGGGCCTTGGTAAAGCGATCGTTCCCGAATAAGCAAAGCTAAATAAAGCTAAAACACTGAAGGATAGATGTGCGGGTAGCCTCTGTTACCTATTTATCAGATGATAATTTAATCAAGGTCTTTATTTATTTATTTATTTATTTATTATAAATTTGAGCACACATACAGAGGTACAAAAAAATACAGATAAGAGCAGCATGCCAAAGCCACTTATACTATGCATAGCATTACGGGCTGGCTTAAAATTAACTTAAGATTAACTAAGCAATGATGAATTCAGTGATAAAACATTAATGTAAACAGATTACTATAAAGCACAAGTGAGTATTACAAAGACAGGTCATATGGTTGCATTCAGTCATATGAAGGATTCTGTTAGGTAGTGTATTTAAAAAATAATAAAGTTAGATTCGGTTTTAGGTTTAACATTTATGTGATATAATTGTGAGAAACATTTAAGATATACAATTTATAAGGTTCAGTTATTCAGTATTTATTTGGTTTTGGGTGAGTAAGTGATCTTTGAGAAGAGACTTGAATTTATAAACAGGTAGTGTTTCTTTTATATTTACAGGTAATGAATTCCAGATTTTAGGGCCTTTTATGTGCATTGAGTTTTTGCATAGTGTGAGATGAACACGAGGAACATCAAAGAGTGATCTGTGCCTTGTGTTATGGTCATGTGTTCTGTTGAGGTTGGCAAGGAGATGTTTGAGGGGAGGGTTAATATCAGAGTTAAGTGTTCTATGTATGTAATAGGTGCAGTAATAAGTATGGATGTTTTGTATGGTGAGTAGGTTTAGTGTATTGAATATTGGTGGAGTGTGCTGCCTGTAGTGAGAATTTTAGGCCTTTTAGGATCTAGAACAGTGACAGCTGGTCTATCAAATCAACGCCTTTTAATTTGTGATCTTTAGTAATGATAAGAATTCAAATATTGACTATGACAATAAATTACATTAACATTTATAAACGAAAGCAGAAATACTTGTTAACAGGTTAGCAGATGTTAATGTTTAGCGCCCATTAACTGCACAAGGGTCGTAAGGCTGTAAATGTACATGCACACTAACATAAAGAATACTTTAATACTTTATAAGCAAGGAACGTATATACTCTTAAGAGAGTATATACCTCTCAGTGCATACAACTTTTGAGAGTTAGTGTATATAAGAACGATAATATGACTAGTTATCTTACCTCTCATCTGAGTGGACGTGATGCCAAGGAACACTGACTGGAGACGCTGAACCACCACCCTCGCCACACTGATTATGACAGACGCTGACTGGAGAGACTGAACCACCACCCTCACCACAATGGTTGTGACACGCTGACTGGAGACACTCAACTACCACCCTCACCATCATGGTTACCGGGACGATGACTGTTTCAACAAGTTTAATTACATTGAGATTCTGGTATATTAGTAGTAATATGTAATAGAAGGCGTAGTAGGAGTAATAACAATAGACAGTAGACGTAGTGGTGCTAGAAATAACAGTAAAGAGTGTAGAAGCAGCAGCAACAGCAGCAAGAGGAAGCAGGAGGGAGGAGGTAGACTGTCTTGGACGGACCCAAACGTCGTCATAAGGTTGCTTTACTAAGGGCAGTTTCTGGGTGAAACGCTTCAGCCACGGTATTGTGAATTTTAATTCTCTATCAGAATATCTTCGTCCCAATTTGATGTTCCTGAGCCCTTGGGACTAGGACAGGTGCAGTATAATGAGGATGTAATCAAACAGCAACTTAAAAAAAAATAATTTATTAAACAGACGAGACCAGCCGATAAAACAAGGTCTTACCAAATTCAATCAGAAAATAAGTTAGTGATATCAATAACAGTGGTTTATAAATACTGATCATTCTGGTTTAGAGGTTCTTAATTTATCAGGAAAAAAATCACCTGTCGAAGAGTTTTAAGCATGTGATGACAGCTTGATGATTCGTTGATACCATCTTAAAGACACTGCCAATGCTGGGAATATAAAAACAAGTGCGACGTGTGAGAAACTTCGTTGGCTTGAGGCAGTTTCTGGTGAGGGAAACAGCAGCAGCTCACCAGGAGCTGCTGCTGTTTCGAGTGCTAAGTTCCCTATGGTTGCACACGTGTGTTCTTTGTATATTCATGATTACCTTATGTGATACAGAATTGTTCAGACAGTAGTGCCCTTGGATCAAGAACAGATTTAATGTCCATGATAAAGCACTTTTAAGTACGCACGCGCGCACAACACGAACGCACACTCAAAGTAAACACACACACGCAAGCACACACACACACACACACACACACACACACACACCACACACACACACACACACACACACACACACACACACACACACACACACACTTATCATGGTGTGCATACACTGTGGTGTGTACTTCTCGTGTGCAGTCTTGAGTTCACTCTCTGTCTTAGAAATTAAAAGAGAATTGGGACGTCAATCACCGCCTGACTCTACATCCCTAAAATATTATGCAACTTTCACACACTGTTTCATCCCTGGAGAATGTTCTAACATCTCTCCCACACCTGGTTAAGTCTTGACACCTCTCACACACCTGGGTATGTCTTGACACCTCTCCCACACCTGGGTATGTCTTGACACCTCTCCCACACCTGGTTATGTCTTGACACTTCTTCCACACCTGGATATGATAGGAATTCTTGGTAGTAACCGAGTACTAATTTAACGAGTCCTGACTGATGATCGACCTTAGACCTAACACTAATCTAAGTATCTTTATAAAACAATCTCTAACGCCAAAATGAATTCCCATGCGATATTTACAGACGCATATTAAGAGTATTATATCGCACAGTGTTGTAAAAATAAATAAAGAAGACAGTAGATGAGATAATCAGTCCGTCAGTCTAGGAACATGTGTTCTGTACCGTAGTTTAGGCTGACTGACGGATTACTTCCTACAGATATCAGTTTATGTTCCCTGTGTTGTACTGATAAAGCCACTGGTTAGCTAAACGTCTACGAAATAAAGATACCCAGCCGTTGCACATGTTTTTAATACATCAAGTGTTATTATAATCAATTTAAGCGCTAAACCGGAAAGTCTTAAGCAAGTGAACGAATTAAAGTCAAATTCCCGGACACCGTCGACCTATTTTCTATTATTTTTAGAAGATGCAAAGAGGAGATTCGTAAACCAATAACTATTTTTTTTTTTAGTAAACCATTGTAAGAGGTAACGTGCCAGAGATATAGATTTTGAAATATAATGTATATTTACAAATTAGATGATGAACTCATTAACATTAAATTACAGACCAGTCAACCTGGACTTTTACCAAAGTTGAGTCGCATTTACTTCATGGGTCGAGTCTGTAGGTTGGTCATCAGCACAGCCTACGAGGACATCAATTTTCTTTGGTTTAAACGGCAACTATACTTAATCAGTTATCAAAATTTAAGTTCTGTGACCCCTATCGGGTCAGAGAAATTAATAAAAATAATGAGATTGACCTCAATGCTGAGAAAATGACTGGAATCGGAACTGAAAAATATAATTTTCGAAAACACTTTGAATTCAAGTTTATAAATGAATCTCGACATAGTTTCACGAGGTTTAGTTCTTACCAGACAAATTTTCTTTATTTAAAGTGACAGACAACAGTACAGAAGTTCAACATTATGTGGACCACCGTAATCCCATTTACACGGCCTATCGACAGGCAACGAATTTTACGTAAATAAAGGAAAATCGGATTGTGATCTGTAACAAGTGACGCTCCACATGGATCATTGTTTACAAACTACATAAACCACTTGGATGGGTGGATAAATATGGTCTTAAGTACATTCGTTAACACAAAGTATAAGGCAATAACTCAACTTTAAGACATCGAGAAACCTCAGTATGAAATGGATAAAGAATGAGACTCGCACAGCATTTGGGAAACTATTACGGTAACGTTTCGCCAGCTAGTGGCTTCTTTATGGTGCAGCTGACAGTGTGACTGGTGCAGCTGACAGTGTGACTGGTGCAACTGGCAGTGTGACTGGTGCAGCTGACAGTGTGACTGGTGCAGCTGACAGTGTGACTGGTGCAGCTGACAGTGAGTGAAGGTACAATCCAGGGGACTGAAAATAACAGCAGCGCCTATGAACTAAATAATACAGAACATAATACAACCAGAACTCTAAACAAAACTTTCGAGTTTTAATTAACAAATCTGAAGCCAAGTTATAATGTTTTTGTTATTATTATTGTACCATTATTATTATTGGAAGGTTCCAGGAACATTATAGTTACAACACCTCGATATGAAGAGTCAAGGCAATATTAGCTACTCCTCTGATAGTGAACTACTACTGTAGAACAGGGGTCCCCAACCTGCGGCCCGAGGGCCGCATGTGGCCCTTCTAGGAAATGGATGCGGCCTTCACATGAAATTATGAATTCACTTTTATGTAGGTTCACACTGCAGTGTCAACAATTACAAAATATTATTATTCATAAAAATTAGAAAAAAATACAAAATGCGGCCCTCCTTTAAATTTGGCTTTTCAAATTGGCCCTTTCATACTAAAAGGTTGAGGACTACTGCTGTAGAAGAACAGAAATGTGCAGCTTGATGGGTGAACTATATTTTGTACAGTAACTTCGTTACGTTGGGTTATTATAATGACTGCATGTTGCAGCACACTTAAGAATACGTTTATTATCTAAAGGTGGGAAAATAATTAATTTTCTGAATGACATGAGACTACTTCATAATATGACCATTAAGATTAGCTGATGATAAGGCATCATCAGCTGTTCTAATCCCCGCTTCACGACTCTGCCTCTAGATTTAACAGATCATTTTAAGGTTTAAACCAAAAAAAAAAAAAAAAAAAAGTCAGCCATTTGACCAATACTATGCAGCGTCCTGGGGTGTCATCTTGTGAAGTGGTCAGCAGTTTACCACAAGCTCTCTCCTAGCAGACGGAAGCTCACAGGGAGAGGACGTCAGTCTGAGGGACTGCCGAAATAAAGCCCATTCATTGGTTATAGAGAAGCGAGGCGGAGGCAGTTAAAGCTGCCGGAGGGTTGAACCTTCATCACTTCTCTCGCTTATATATAATATTGTTTCTTGCAGGAGTTACCAAGTCTAGCGGGATCTTGACTTTCTCAACACCTGGTCGTTACACTTTATCACGTCGCACTGGCGTTGTCGCGCGGCACTCAATATGTCGTCAGCAGCGCGTTTGAGAGACGACTCTTGATCGTCTCCGCGATCAAACCTGAGGATATGGAGAAGAACGAGAGAGTGCCAGGGAAACTTTTTTTTTTTTTTTTTGCAAGAACCTTGCAGAAAATTTTAATATTTAGCTATATTTTTTTTAGCACACATCAATATTAACAAATATAATTTGAAGTCAGTTTTATGAACAGACGTTAGTAACTAAGTCTCAACGTGGTTTCTCGTACATGCCAAGGAAGACATCCACTCGTTTCTCAACACTGAAGAGGAAGTCTTCCGAAGTGTAGGTCATGAGACGACACAAGATCCTCCTGGAGCAGCTGGAGCTCACCCACGGGGCGTAGTCCTCCAGACGGTGTAGCAAGGTAGGTTCCCCTAGTGGCACCTCTGATACCAGCTGTAATCACACACCAACACGTCAGTTTTCCCGTTACCAGCTTCCATTTCTGCTACGTAAACAATGAGATTAGACAGTAGCTTCTATAATTATAATCAAGGGGTACACCAACACTGAACGGACACCTACCCAACACTGGAATAATTCCAGGAAGACGGGAGGTGAATTACAAATTCTCAGTTTTATCCAGGATGTAATTTCCAGCTGAACTGGAGTTTTCTTGCACATGGACAATTTATATTCACGGATGAATTTAAAGGCTAAAAGTTGTTGTCCTGCCTCAGACTATTTCAAATCCCTGTCTTATCCCAATTAAACAAGGGTAAGAAGGTGTAAGTAAACACGGCCAGCGTCTCCACCCACTCAAGGTTAGATCTCGGGTCCGGGTCCACGGGTTGTGTCCAGGTTGTGTGTCCTGTTTATGTATCCAGAACAACTACCAGATTTTGATTTTTTTCATACATCTGCATTTCATCTTTCTCCCCAGGATAAGACTCAACAGTCGGCTAACACCCAGGCACCTAAATTTATTGTCAGATGAGAAGAGACAGCGGGAATCCAAGTAACGTTACTCAGGTTTCAGTAGACAGGGAATCTATTTCACGACCTTCCCAGTGTCCACAGATTCCACCGACCGTGGATGTTGAGCCAAGAATCTTGACGCTATTGCTAATATGTAATACTTTCATTAGTGCCCTAGCTCTGATGGTATTAATATTATTATATTAAAAATAAGCTCCAAACCCTTAAGGGTCCTACAGAATATATATATCATGAGTTGTAGATGAGTGGAACAATCTGTCAGGTAGACTCATTGAAGCAAGCACTTTAAGTAGCTCTGAGAACAGGTTAAACTAATATAAGAATGAGACTGGGTTTGAGGAGGATCTGTCCAGCACTGGCCGATAGGCCACTTGATGAAAAAAAAATGTGCCGCACCTAGGTATCTTCACTGAGAAATGTTTCGCTTGCTCAGCAGTCTTCACTGATCTCAGAGACATGAGGACGAAGAGTTTTATACGGAGCCAGTGGAAGAAGAGGTGAGATGCAGCAGTTGAAGACGTCGCTAGTGGGTGGGGCCCACTAGTGGAAATAGATCAGACCCCATAAGGTGGGTTATAGATTTATTACTGGAGATGCAGAAAATGTGGTGAGATGCTGCAGAAAAAACATGTGTATACTTCAAGGCAGTTATTAAAGGAAACATTCTGCTATGAATGGCTTCTTAGGTCCTAATTAAGACTAATGAAGCCACGCCGTGGAGGGTCGTTCCCTTTAATAAACGTCCTGAACTGGACACAAGTGTCTTTATCCACAGCTTATGGCTGTCAACATGCCATTTAAAACCGAGATTCAGCAGTCTAAGATGTGGTCACACGTGGGAAGGGCCAACCAGTAGAATTAGGTTAGTCCTACAAGCTGGGTCGGGCCACCTTATTGGACTATAGGCCTGACGTACATGTGTGGGCCCCGCCCACATGTGTCAGTGTCTTCAGCTGCTGCAACTCTCCACCTGATCAAGCACAAGTATGTTAATTCTTATAATCAAAACTAAGCGCTATAGTAGCTCTATCAGTCTTAATGCAGAGACAGCTAAAAGACATCTTAGGACCTATAGGATCTCAAACCCAGACTTCCTCTACGAGTAGTGACATATCATACACGTTTCTGAAAAGTGTAGACGGAGTGCCCTCCACATCATCAGAGCCAGTAACTACAACACACGTGCTAGATCTGACAGCAGGTACATAGTCATTCCTATAAGCAATATGGCCGGTAACATTTCTCAAGCACTCTTGAGCAGCCATATTACAGTAGCAACCAGTTCCCCGATCACCGTTAAGACCTGACTAGACCAAAACCAATCAGCTCCACAGAAACTGGTGTTGATTTGTACAAGATCCCTTGCAGGGCATGTGATTAGGTACACACTGAAGAAACAAGCACGACCATGAACCAACGTGTTAGGGAGCACAGCCACTTCACTGAAATTAATGATATAAACATGTTTGCATCGTCATAGCACACATGATCACATCATGAGGTGGCAGGACGGAGCAAAACTACTGATAAAGAAGAGTGGTTACCCAGACGTGGGTACATGGGACCCTCACTAATTTTTATATCAACCACAGAAAACTCAGGGAACCTCAGCATCTCCAATGTTCAAACCAAATTGTTTCTACCCACTCAAAACACTGCCACCAGGTGACATAGGAACGCAGGAGCACTGCAGATGAATCTTTTAGTCTTAACCTTAAAAGACTCGGTATACACTGCATACCGAGTCTTTTAGCTAACTCTGTACAAGGATTGATGACGTGACCAGTGTCGAAACATCTTCAATGTCCTGATTGTGCATGTGTGTCGTATTCCCACA